CTGTGCTGGGAGGTGGCTGGGGCAAGGAGCACTCCAGGGGCACAGGGTGCCCTCAGAGGCACTGCCCACGGCATCCATGCCTGTGCTGTGTGCCCAGTGGGAGCTGAGATGCCACCTGGACTGTAAGAGGCTTTCCCACAGGCCAGCCCCAGCCCCAGCCCCAGCTCCCAGCTGAGCTCAGCAGCACTGGCCTCAGCACCATCAGGCCTGTGCCAGGGGACTGGAACATCATTATCTTTAAGATCCCGAGACCGTTCTGTGGTCCTGTGGTGCTGGACCCCTGCAGCCCACTCCAGCTCCAGCCTCTAACACACTGAAAGTTCAAAGCTTGAAATAAACCCTGGCCAGCATTCCCCGTCCCTGGCTGTCCTTGGGGAGCCTACCCCCGTCTGCTCGGAGCCGCACACATGTCCTGGCAGTGCCCAAGCACTCGCAGGAGCCCGAGGACAGGTTTCTGTGCAGCTGCTGTTGGCATCACCAGACTCCAGCTCAGCTCTGCCAGGCCCCCTGGGCCATAACCTTGTGTGTGGCCAGGGGCAAATGACTTCATCCTGTGGGGCTGGGGGGGCTGAGTGGGGCTCTCCTGCACACTGGGGCACACTGGGGAACCTCCTTGCTGGAGGGAGCCGGTCTCACAGGAGCAGGCAGGGTCAGGCACGGTGCCTGGTGCATGCCGCACGGTGCATGGTGCACGGTGCATGGTGCATGCCGCACAGTTCATGGTGCACAGTACCTGGCGCATGCCGCACGGTGCCTGGAGCATGCTGCACGGTGCCTGGTGCATGTCGCACGGTGCATGGTGTATGCAGCACAGTGCATGGTGCATGCCACACAGTGCACGGTGCATGGTGCACAGTGCCTGGTGCATGCCACACAGTGCACGGTGCATGGTGCACAGTGCCTGGTGCATGCCGCACGGTGCCTGGTGCATGCCGCACGGTGCCTGGTGCATGTCGCACGGTGCCTGGTGCATGCCGCACGGTGCCTGGTGCATGCCGCAGGGTGCATGGTGCATGTCGCGCGGTGCCTGGTGCATGGTTCCTGGTGCATGTCGCACAGTGCATGGTGCATGCCGCACGGTGCCTGGTGCATGGTTCCTGGTGCATGTCGCACAGTGCATGGTGCATGCCGCATGGCACCTGGTGCATGTCACACAGTGCCTGGTGCATGTCGCGCGGTGCCTGGTGCATGGTTCCTGGTGCATGCCGCAGGGTGCATGGTGCATACCGCACGGTGCACTGTGTGGTGCACACTGCTGCCAGCCCTGCTGAGCACAGGGTCCTGCAGCCCAGCCCAGTGCTGCTGGGCTTTTCCGGCAGCAGCCCTGCGAGGCCATCACTGCACAGGCTGCTGGGCCACAGGGAGGAGGCCTGGGCTGGCAGGATCCCTTGATGGAGACCATGGTGGGCACAGCAGAGCGGCTGTGGGAGGCTCTGGGCATGCCAAGGTCAGCCACTCCCTGGAGCACCGGGTACTGCTGCTGCTTGAGCCAACGCTCTGGCATCTCAGCGCTCTGCAGGGCTCAGCAAACCACGCAGGGACACGGGTCAGGCCTCGTGCAGCCGGGTCCCACAACAGCAGAGCAGGGCACAGGTGCCACGGTGCTGAGGGGACGGGAAAGCCTTGCTCCCAGCCCCCTCCAGCCCTGCGCTCTCTCCCCCGTCTCTCTCACGCTCACGCGTGCTCCTGCGGCCCCACTCCCGTCAATGCCTCCTTGTTGCTCCAGCCCACTCGGCAGGCAGGAATGTGCTCCTGGCCCCCACCCTGCGATGCCCTTTGCAGCCTGGCTCCAGCTCCTGCATCACTGCTGCAAAGTGACACCCCACCGACGGGAACAGATGGTGCCATGCCACAAATGCCACCCTGTCACCGCTGCCCGGGTGGCTCTTACCGCCAGCCTGACCTTGTGGTGGGACCTTGTGCTGCCCAGTTCCTCCTGCCCTGATTTATCCTTCCCCGGCCTCCCAGTACAGCACAGTGCTCCCCTGCCTGCCTGCGATGCCCTTCGCTTGCCCAGGACCCGGGGAAGGTGGCCCCCAGCATCTTTGATGGCTCAGACCATTGCCCACACTGGGGGAGCAGCAGGTCCTGCAGCACCTGAAGAGGGGCAGGGGTGTCCCCTTGGCGCCTGGAGGCATAGGCTGGCCAGGCTGCTGCTCTGTTTTACTGAGGAGGGGCTGGGCAGGAGAGCTGGCACGGATTGGACCATGTGGGCAAGCAGGTTGGTGCATATCTCCTGTCCCCACCCCAGAGCCAGGCGGGGCCCTGCCTGAATCACACACCAGCACGCACTGGGAGGATGCTGCTCCCCCCGCAGCACAGTTCCTGTACCCAATCCCACACCACTGGCTCCCCTCGGCCCCCTGGCCACCGGAAGGTGCCATGGGGCTGCTCTCCCCATCCCATGTTCAGGTGGGCTCATGGCTGGGTCGCAGATGAGCAACCTCAGGGTAATGCTGTGGCAGACCTGCCCCCAACACTGGTGTTCACAGGAGGAGATGCATTGCCCAGCCCAGCACGGTGGTAGCTGCCCTCCTCACACCTGGTGTTTCCACACAAGCTTGGCCCCTTTGCACTGCTGAGGTCACCCTGGAGAGCAGTTCACGATGCCCACCTGAGGGCAAAGAGGGGAGAAGCCCTTCCTGAACAGGGTCCCTCCCAGGCATACCCTGAGCAGAAGGGCTTCTTGAAGCAGCACCAGTCCTGTAGGAATTGCTCTGGAGCATCCTACCCTGTGCATCCCTCACAGCATCCCTGCCTCTAGCAAATAGCACGGAGAGCCACCTGGCCAGGGGAAAATAACAGAGCCAGGCTGGAAATGCTCAGTGTAGGTCATCCAGTATCCCAGCACAGGTCTGACCCTGCCCTACAGAGCTGAGGGCTGCGTGCAGCATGGGCTGAACTGTCTCCAGCAGCCTCAGAGCCAGGCTCGGACTCCACATGCAGCTGCTTGATCCCCCTGTGCCATGCGTGAGCGTGTGCATCCACACAACCTCCTCCTGTACCGGTGTCAGAGCACACCAGCTATAACAAAGGGCACAAATCTGCTTGGGTTCCCCAGTGCCAGCAGCAAGGGTGACCTTATCGGGCCTGTTATCGGGGTGTTCCTCTGGCACCCACAATCCTCTGTTTGCATGCTATCACATCTTGGGTGTCTTGGCTCGCTCCCCAGGGGGAGAAAGTTCAGGCTGGAGCAAAACAACAGCACATGGAGGTGTGGGCACCCCTGTCAGGGCTGTGCCACTGCAGTGAGGGCACCGGTCATGGCTGTCATAACAGGGAATGCCAAAGCATCTCAGAACACAGCACACACTGGGGTATGGAGGATGGGCTTGGGCATGGCAGTGAGGAGCACTGAGGGGAGAAACCCTGATCCCTGGCACCTCTGTGTGCTCCTGACCTCAGCCACCGGCCCAATGCTTGTCAGGAGCATCAGGGGTCCTGCTCCAGCAGGGGTGAGTTCCAAAGCAGCAACCCATGACCAGTGGCCCCATCACCACTGTGGCACTGTCACCACCTTCCCAGTGAGCAGCCTGGGCACTGGCTCCCACTCCAGCGCGTGATGGGGACAGAGTCTCACTTCCCCTCCCCACCCTGACACCAAACACCCGCAGCCTCCCGCAGCAATGGGAAACCTCGGGCTCCGCTTCCCTCCCCGCTGGGTGGGTTCAGGGCCTTGGCGAGTGTCCTGGCTCCTCCTTTCCCACCTGAGCCGCAGCTCGAGTTATGCAAGTGCAGGAGCAGCGTCTCTGAGGAGCCGCAGTGGGAGGCATGCATGGGGTGGCCCCATGTGAGACCCTCACTGCCCCACGTGGGTGCTTGCACACGCATGCACAGCTCAGGAACACACCTGTGAGTGCATGTGCATGCGGGGAGGGTGGTGGGTGTCAGCAGACATGCAGGTGCTGCCGTGCACGCGCTTGCATGTGGCCACACCACGAGGAATGAGGCCCAGAGCCGCTGCCTGCTCAGCCAGGCACATACACACTGGTGGCCACGCATCTCCTCTGCCGTGGGAGACAGGATGTGTCCCACCTCCCGAAGCTCCACAGTGCTGGTGCTGCCACGCTGCAGCTCCCTGCGGCCCCCCAGGTCCAGCTTGGCAATCCAAGGCTGAGGTGTGTAGCCCTGGGCCTCCACCTCGCTGCTCCCCATCGTTCAATCAGCCCTCCAGGGTGCTGGGCACTGGGGAGCAGTGAGGGACCCTGTGCTCCTGCCTTCCCAGCCCTGCCAGGGTAAAGCCCAGCTTCCTGGGCTGGATGAGGCCAGTCCCAAGTATGTCCCAATGCCCGAGCACTCGCAGTCCCGTCCCACAGAAGCCTGCTCTGACCTAAGCAGGGTCTGCTCTGTCAAGAGCAGAGTTGCTTTCCAGGGGTGGGAAATAGCACCCAGGCCAGACCTGTCTTCAGTCAATGTACTCTGGAGACAGGGAAGCTGCTGAAAGAGCAGGACGTATCAGCAGGGCTCTCGTGCTCTCTACCCAGTTTCTCACTAACTCTAAAGGTGGCTTTCGAGGCAGCATAACTGCTTCCCAAGGAACGAGCTGCCCCTCTCCTAGCAGGACCAAGAGGACAGTTCTTGTTTGACCCTGTATGCTGTCCATGACCCTGCAGGCAACGTCTGTGCGGACAAGATGCAGCCAGAGGGATGAATACAGAGTCCAGGGACCAAGATGCGCAGCAGGAAGCTGTTGTCACTGCCGCGACTGGGACAGAGCAGGGCACCGAGAGGCAGCACCGCTGCTGTCACGGGGCAGAACCACCCGGACCTGCACCCGGGGGCTGGCACCACCCACGGCGGATGGACCGCCCCGCACCACCACGAGCCCGCTCGTGCTTCTCCCACCCTGGGATCCCCCAACGCTGCCGTGCCCCAACCCCAGTGTCAGGTCATAGGGGTCCCCTTGACCCTGCCAGCCCCTCGCCTCACCCCACGATGCCAGCCCTGCTCCGACTACAGGGGGCAGCCCGTCGGTGACACGGTGACACGGCGACACTCACCTGTGGAAGAGCAGCAGGATGGAGAGCAGGGTCTGGTCGATGTTCCTGTTGCAGATGCCCTGGTTGAAGAGGTAGCAGGGGTCCCGCACGACGGGCTCCAGCGAGTCCTGGCGCATGATGGAGCTCAGCTTGTCGGTGTTGAGGTTCTTGCGGACCAGCTGCTCCTGCAGCTGCCGGAAGCTGCTGACCGTGGGGCTGCCCAGGTTGTTGTTCTCGCCGCCAGCCGCCTCCTCCAGCCCACTGCGGTTGGCCAGGTCCAGGCAGCAGCTGCAGCAGTCCAGCCCCACGGGCGACCGGCACTCCTCCGCGGGCGACGAGGACATCCCGGGTCCCCCCGAGCCGAGCCGAGCCGAGCCGAGCCGAGCCGAGCCGAGCCGAGCCGAGTCGAGCCGAGCCGCGGCGGCGCAGCCGGAGCTGCTCCCGGGGCCGCTCCCGGAGGGCGAGCGGCGGCAGGACGCGCCCGGCTACCGAGCGCCGCACGGCCCGGCCCGGCCCGGCCCGGCCCTGCCCGGCCCCGCCGACCGCCCCGGCCCCGCCCCCCGGCCCGCCCCGCCCGGTGCCCGCCCCGGCGGGACCCGCCGCGCTCAGCGGTCCTGCTCCGGCAGCACCCCCTGCCCCACGCGGGGGTCCCCGCCGCTCCTGGTGCCCTTCGGCAGCCCGGAGCCGGCAGCGGGGCCTTGGGTTTGGAGACGGAGCGGCGTGGCCCGGGAGGGGGTGTCAGAGGGTGCAGGGGGTGTCAGGGACCCCCAGCCCTGCTCTGAGCAGCCTGGGAAGAGAGAGAAGGGACTCAGGGGGGCTGGAGCCCATCCCCGGCCCCCCCCCGGGGTTCTGCTTGGGCATCGAGAGCCTGAGCGATTCGGGAGCAGAGAGGGAAAAGAGGGAAAAGGGCAAGGCTCTTCTTCCTCCTTTCTTCATCCTTTCCACCCCAGGATGGTTAAACAGTGGGGGGGGGGGGGGGGGTCCTGGGAGCATGGCCGGGAGCTGACTGACCCATAGCGGGAAAAGGCAGAGGTGGAACGTGACCAAGCAGGGGGAGATGTTTGGATTTGGCTGCAGGGTGCTGGGGGTACACAAGGGAGAAAGGGAGTTTCTGCGGGGGGGGGGGCATGTGGCTCCCTGGCACTCCTGCATCCCACTGGGAGCATCCCTCCCACCAGTGAGCTGTGCAGTGAGGGGACAGCAGTGGGTCTGAAGTGCACGGAATTGCCAAGAAGAGAAAGGCCAGGCTAGAATCTGGCAGGGCAACAGCAACAGAAGCACCAGGACAGCAGGACCCCGCCTGCAGAGCGGCGCTCACGTGAGGTGTGAGCAGGGCGCTCACGCTGCTGAAGGCAGAAGTGTTCGGTAAACATTTCTGTTCCCTATTTGGCAAGAAGGAGGAAGATGCATTTGCATCACATGAGGATGAAGCACTTTCCAGTGCGTTAGTAACCAAGGAAGGCACGAGACAGCGTCTGCCACAGATAAACAGCTGTAAAAGTGGCCAAGGAAGCCTTAGACAGCGCTTCTCCTTTCCCTTAGGGTCCACCCAGCAGCCCTGGCGGTGGGATGGGATGGGAACCGGTCCAGCCAGGCGGGTGGCACCAGCAGGGGTCCGGGGGGTGACTGGCATTCCTGGGATGGGGATGGGACGGAGGGAATTCCTGAAGGAGTGGCTGCCCACAGGGATGTCCCCTCTCCCTGCGGCTCCGCTGGGTGCTGAGGGCTGATGCCGAGTTGCTTCCTCACCCCTCCCACTGAGCCCCTCGGGAGGGAAGGTCTCTGGGTGACCCCTCTGATGCTGCTGATAGGGTGTCCCTGGATGCTGCTGGTGGGGGGGGCCCTGGCTATCCCCACTGCTGCCAGGCCCACGGGAGCAGGACGGCGCTGGGGTTTCTTCCTCCCCCGGCTGGAACCCGTCCCCGGCAGCAGGGCCGGGGGTCCCCCTGGGTCGTGCCCCACAGCGAGCCCTGCGGGGCGGGATGTGGGGCGGGTGCCCGCGGGAGCCGCGGGGGGCTGCTGCCATCCCGTGGCCACGGTGGGAAGGACACGTGGTCAGGGACTGGTCCCCTCCCGCCGCTCCGCAGCCCGTACCGGTGCCCCCGCCGTGCCCGGGGCCGCGGCTCCTGGGTTGGCTGGCTCTCGGTAGCCGGTCCCCAAGGCGACGGGACGGGGCTGCCCCACACCAGCCGTCAGCTCCTCTCTCCCCATCACATGTCACGGGCTGCCACGTTCGTGCGTGCAGCAGTGCAAATACGCAAACGTTCAAACATGCGAGCCACGACGGGCTGCCCTAAGCCACCGATCCTGGAGGCATGTGTTGGGATGAGGCCATGGCCCGGAGCGGGCACCCAGCCCCGCTGCCGGCAGCGACGGCTTAAAAGTAGGTTTCCTATGTTTAGCTGTGGCCTTTTTGTGTCCCGCTGTTCTCAGGGCTGGGACGCGCCGGTTTCTGCCTGCAGCTCGTTCCTCAAGGGCGATCGGCTGCTCCGTGCCCTGGGCGAGGTGCCCTCACCCCGACACAGGCAGAGGCTCTGCCAGCCCCGGCAAGGTGAGGTTGTGCAGGGCTGGCGCAGAGCTGGGGAGCAGGGCACGGCTCAGTCTGGTGCAGTGCATGCAGACCACGTCGCCCTCTCAGCTCTGAAAGGGATTCCCTTCTCCTGGCTGCAATGTGGGGTGCTCTGCTCCCGCCTCAGGGCAGGGATCCCCGCCTTGCCCCTGCTTCTCCTGCTGCCCCCAAGCTGAGGGGTAATGGGCTGGGAAGGAAAGCACAGGGGGAAATGCACAGGGATGTGGAGGAACGTGGGCTCAGCCAGCGCCGTGCCAGCCGTGGGCACAGGGCTCTCTCTCTGCAGGGAGCCACATGCTGTCTGTCTGGGAGCTGTGAGCTGCAGGGTCTATCCACGATCCACAGCCTATATTCCTAGTGCAGGGCTGGGGCATCTGGGAGAGGAGATTGCACCCTGTCGTGATCCCAGGGTGTATCCAGAGCCACCCCTTCTCATGGAATCCTGGAACGGTTTGGGTTGAAAGGGACTTTAAAGTTCATTCAGCTCCAACCCCTGCCACAGGCAGGGACCCCTTCCACTGGAGCAGCTTGCTCCAAGCCCCTGTGTCCAACCTGGCCTTGGAACACTGCCAGGGATGGGGCAGCCACAGCTTCTCTGGGCACCCTGTGCCAGCGCCTCAGCACCCTCACAGGGAAGAGCTCTTGCCTAAGAGCTCAGCTCAGTCTCCCCTCGGGCAGGTTCAAGCCATTCCCCTTGTTCTGTCCCTACAGGCCCTTGTCCCAAGCCCCTCTCCTTGCAGACAGATTCCTGCTGCAGCTTGGGTCAGTGCCAGGAAGGGCTCCAGGCACAATCTGGCCATGCTGCTTTCCCCATGCCTTCCCCACTGGAGCTTTGGAGGGAGCTGGCTCATGGGGCTGTTCCATCTGCCCCCAGGACCCCCCAGTTCCCAGCACCCATGGAGTGCTGACAACACCCAGCACTGCCAGCAGCTGCTGTGCCACCACACACCAGCTATGGGCATGGTTGGCATCACAGCTAGGAGCAACCGGCAGTGCCAGGGCTCTTCCATCTGGGCTGGGCTATTCCATGCAAGACTTCTCAGCCCTTTTGGAAGGGGTTAAAGTCAAACCGGCTTTCCCATGGTGCTGGTGCAAGCCTGGGAATGAAATCTCAAAGTGGAGGGGTAAAGCTGTAGCACAGCAGCTTTGTGCTGCATCTGCTGGGGTGAGCCCCCATTGGCATCAGCACCTGCTGGCATCAGCGCTCACCGGCACTGTTAAACTCCCCTCCAGCTCTGTGAGGTGCCCAGCAAAGGGGCAGGAGGAGCTTCAGGGATGCACTGGGGGTTCATGGGATAATGGTGGCCACCCAGGGGCGTGGGGTTGCTGCTGAGCCTGGCAGAGTGCTGCTGCTGCTCATCCTGCTCTCTCTGTGGGGCATCCCTGTTCTCCAATTGGATTTGGCAGTCATGGCAAGTATCAGGAATGTCTCTTTTTTTTGGTGGCATTTGAAAGAATGTACAAATATTCACCAAGACATTTATGTTTTTTCCCCTGGGACTTGTTAGCTGCTTCTGATGGCAATAAACTCCAGTTTGGGGCATTTTGAATTATGAGCAATGCTTCTGGCTGGGAGTCCATCTTACAAGCCCTTTCAGAGGGAAAACACTTGCCTAGATAGAAAGGCCCAAGTAAAAAGTGGTTTGTGCACACTGAGAAGCAGCTTTGTGACACCCTACAGGAGACCCCGTTGTTGCTGTTGATTCTCCCTGTGTCTGCTGGTGGAGGGTGAGCCAGGTCCCCGGAGCTCATCCCGACTTCATGGTTCAATGCACCATGCTGTTGAAAGGTGGGAGGGCTGAAGTCTCTCTGTTATATACGATGTGTCAGCTGAAAGCCCCCCCTCCATTATAGGGCAACAAGTCCCAGCATCTGGAAGCTCGAGACTCTGGATGCAGATCCCACTGAAACCCCTGGCAGCCAGAGGAGCCTCCCCCCAGCCATCACCTGGCCTGTGCTCCTGGCAAGCTGGACCAGCCAGGGCCCCTTGTCTGCTCCAGATGATTCCCTGAGGAATCCCCCACCTACCTTATCCCATGGCTGGGGACTGCCCCCTGTTCCTTGCTGGTCTCTCCTGTGTCCAGTTGCTGGGGTTGGAGGAGTGACACAGCAATTCAAGATATTAAACCCAATGATCCCTGCAAAGCAGTCCACTTCCCTGGGAAGCCCCTGCACTTGTGAGATAATTTCACCCTACCCTCATTAATTTATGGGAGATATTAGAATTATCCAAAGGGCAGCAGCAGCACAGCCATGGTTGTAATTTCCAATCCCACCTTTAATTAACGCTGGCAATGGGCTGCTTGGGAGCTGCTGCACAGCAAATCCCTGCCTCAGACCCTCACTTGAGTGACCATGGAAATGAGGGCTGTATTAATATGAATGAAGTTGCATTATGTTCAATTGGGTGTGGAAGCTGATCCAGTCATGCTCATTGCTTGTCCAGGAAGTGCCAAAATCGATGCAAAGCCTCACTCTTGCCAAGTTTTCCCATGGTCGGAGGATGGAGCTGGAGGCTGCCCAAACGTTGGGCACCTCCAATGAGCTGAGCCTGTTGTGAGGATCAAACAGGGACAAGGGGCCCTGCCTGCCCACCGGAATGCCCCGGGGTGATGAGGGTGCACCCAGCCCATCACCAGCTTCCAGGAAAACGGGGGGAGCTCCTTAGAAGCAGGGCACTGTGGAACCCTCCTGTGCTGGGCAGGACCTTCCTCTTCCACCTCGGCCATGTCTGCAGCTACCAAACAGAGAGGGCTTTGGTCAAACACAGCTCAGCTCTGCCACCCGTGACACGAGGCCCCCGGGGCG